GTGTTTTTCTTTAAGAATATCTGTGGCTTATTAGCTTAGTGGCACTAATGATGAGGTCAGGGCATTAAGATCAAACCCTACATATGCCAACCAGTTTCAAAGAGAAGAGGGGTTTTTTTTATAGCCAATGACTGGACTAACTTTGACCAGCTTTCATACAAATGCATGGCTAGTGGTCTGAGAGGTACCAAGCCAAAAAATGCCAAGGCGCAGCATAAATCCAGCCCTACTCAAGCAATGCTAAGTAAATTGGGTGACTATATCTTTGAATGACCCAAATTGTACCATCTCTGCTTTAATTGGAAGGCAGCATCAATAGGCTGGGGGAAAACTTGTGGTCAAGGTTTAGAAGGCTACAGATTCTTATTTTCTCCTTCTAATTTAATAAAGGGCAGCTAAAATCTGACCTCACTTGTCCCCATCATGTCCAAGAGAGTGAGAAAAATGTAGATAAGATCTGTCTGTTGGTCTTTCCCAGCAACGGAAAATGGCAATCTACTTTCATGAGGTATGTGCTCCTTTGACCAGATGAGCTGTGTATATTCTCTGAGGGGTTGAAGACCAACTTAAACAAACAAACAAAAAAGAATGTGGTTCTTTTTTCTTTAAGTGGGTGTAATCTTCTCTTAGGGAACAGACAGAATGTAAAGAAGATAAAGGAGATAAAAGATTCTTTGGTCACTACTTAAACCCAAGGCCCACCTTTCTTGAGTAGTGCCAAATCTTTGTTAATTACAACCTAGACTATGAGTCTGTTAAAGTTGGAAGAGGTCATTTACTTTAACAAAATCTCCTTGTTTTATAGACAAGGACATTTCAACCCAAGAAGTTTAAGTGTTTGCCAAGGTCTTACAACTAATGAGTGACAGGTCTGGGAGCAGTTTTCTGAGCACAATATTTCACATGAAAGAAACTTGAGTTAATAATAATAACCTAGATGGAGGAAGGTTGTTTCAATCAATAACAATGAAATTCATGGCAAAGTTTCATATGAACTCTATATAAGCAGTATGTTTTAACACACAAAGAATGCCATTTGTTTATTCAAATCTGTTTTTAATAACTATGCATTGGAAGTACGTTTTATAAAAGCTATAAATCTGGAAGATCTGAAAGGGTAACCAACTTTCTTTTCTAATTGATTTACTTCTCTGTTTTTTTCCAGACTGCCGAGGTAAAGCATATACAATTTATTTAAGGGATTGTTTATAGACTACTAAAACTAAAAAGGACCCCAGAAACTCACTTTCTTTTAGCTGCTGTTAATTGAAACCATCCAAGATGGTTGGTTGTCCATCAATATTTTTTAATTCTCTCCAAGGAGAGAAATTCCACAAGCCCTTGAAGAACATGTTAAAATGGTTAATGGCTCTCAAAAATTATGTCTATAGTAAACTTAATGTTTCCTATTTCACTGGAAGCTCTTTTCCTCTTGCAGTTCCACACAAAATGAGGTTCTAACAAACCACCCTCTGTGAAAGCTCCATCAATCTGGTAAGATAACAGCTAGCTGTTTTTCAGTGTGCCACCTCTATTAAGCCACCATTTTTCTCATAGGACTATGAGCACACAAGATTGGCTGATACGCTCTCTTACTCTGATGCATAGGGAAGAATCAGTAATTAGCTCTTCATTGGAACTTTCATTTCAGAAAATGTCTGGGGAAGCTGCATTAATTATAGAGGAAGTGTTTCATTTAGCTGGGAAGATGCTTACAAAAAAGATAATCTAGATAGTTGTTTTCCACAGTGCTCTAGTGGGACTGGGGCTTGTAGAGAAATATGAGCTCATTCATAACACTGGGTCAATCTATACAAAATTAGCATGACAAAATTTTATTCAGTTGAGTTTCTAATAAGGTTAAAAAAATCTTTCCTTGTTAAACATTCTGGCCCAACAAAAAAGATAGATATGGAGGCAGTTTTCTTCCAGATGTTTGAATTTCAAACTAAGATAAAAAACTTCCTTCCACTACTAAAAAAAAATCATACTTTCAAAATGGGTCTTCAAGCAGCTTAAGGTACAAGGCGAAGCCACAATAAAACTTTGAAAATAAGGGTAAAAAAATAGTAAGAGTCAATTTACAGGGGATGGAGGTGGAAAAGACTGCTTTGTTCTAATAAGATTTCAAAGACTGTAAATACTTACAGCTGACTTCTCCACACATAGTAAATCTCAGGGAACAAACAGGAAACTAAATAAAATTTGTTGACAACAGTTAATGCCTGTAAGAATAATTGGCTCAGACACAAAATAGACCATCGTTGTAGCTTGGGGGATAACTAGAATGCAGCCATAAGTTTGTTAGTATATATTGCAGTCATTTTTTAAAAAAGTAACAGTTTTATCAAATAGCTGCATAAATATGAGGTGAGAATTGTCCAAAGTACTTGATAAACCTAATTCTTGATGGTGTTGAAGACTAAGATGTCAAACAAGTAATTCCATTTTATTCAACTGGATTCAATTCAACTCAATTCAATCCTATCAGTTCAACAAAGATGAGCGACTACTATAGTAGCCAGGCATTGAGTGAGGTACTGGGATTTAATGGTAAATAAATATAGCATTTCACATCAAGGAGCCCATTGAGAGGGTAAATCCTGGTTAGGTGAATTCAAAAATGGGACAACATATTCAGGAAAAGTATAAATGATTCTAATCTAATCTCCCACTGTTATTTTTCTCTTATGACACTTGTGCATTTTTTAACCTCCCAACTAGTGACTAGACTGTGAATTCTTTGAAGGCAAAGTCAATCTCTCTCATTTGTTTCTATGTCTCATTGATGACTGGTATAGGGTCTTACACAGAGCAGATGTCCCATCAATGTTTTGAGTTAAAGGATTTAAATGGGCTAACTTCTCTTGGGCAAACAGGATTATCCAGTTGAGTAGAAAGTTAATAAGAATACTTTTGTGCATGAGGGTTGACATCAGGGAAAGGATTTACATAAGCCACAGAATTGTATAAAACAGAACTTACGAAACATAGACTCTCAATGACAACGCTGACGATAATAATACACAATTTATAAAACACCTTCCTTTTCAAAGTCATACTCTAAACATCAAGAGTTGCCATAGATTATTGTGCCCTTTTCAATTTCAAAGCACTTGCTTAAATTGGATTATTGTAGTAATAATAAAAGAATCCTTTCAGTGCCTTGAAGTTGGTTTCCATCATAGTTGTCCAATACTCTTAAGTGTCAGTGTGAACATATATATGTACCATGGGGTTACTTGGGATGAAATCATTCTTTCCATTCTCATTTTACCATCATCGTCATTGGAGGATCCAGTTTCCATGCACTGTGCATGAAATCCTGGAGCATATCATGTTGGACAGGACACTTGAATCTGGCACATAACAGAAAACACTTGTGGGCTTGGTAATCACCTGGTGAACTGGATCAAAGGAAACTACACAAATGGATTATCAAGGCAAGAGAAATCCTCTTAGGCATAATGAGTGAGGACTACTTATTCATTTTTAATGTGGACCAGTAGCAGCACCGTAATGATCAATGACAACCTTTTGCTGAGGGAAGTTGATGCGACACATTTGCCTTTTGTAAAACAAGTCCGCTGCTTGATAAGAACCCACCTGGTGAACTCATTCATCTGCACTGCAACCAAGAGCTGGACAGAATCACGTTATTGCCAGAGAAATAGATGAATTAGCTCAATTAAAGTATTGGCTGGAAACAGAGTGGGATTTTGCCCATTCAAACAGTAGAAAGCACATCTCATCCTCTGTCACTAGTTGTTTAAATTCTATTTGTTGCCAAATCCACAATGTGTACAGATCATCAGTCCTCCTTTCAGACTCTTCCTTCCCATCCCTCCACCCACCCACCCCAGAAACCTATACATGGACCCCTGTCCCAGCGCCCCTCCTACGCCCCTTCCCCACACCCACCACCTTCCCTGGGAAGAAGATGAGAAAGACTTGAAATGTGTGAGTCAACCCAGGAGCTATTCAAAACTTAGTGGGTGACTGAGGAAAGCTGTCTACACTTGAGTGATATGAAGCTCTAAGAATGATTCATGCTCACCGAGGACCTGAGCGTCAGTTTTCTGGAACTCTCCAAAATTCCACAAAAAAAATTATACAGAATGAACATCTGGCATTAGGTTTCACTGTACTGTAATGTACAAGCTTCTGGCATAGATTCTTTTAGTGATGAGTTCCCTCAGGCAGCACCGACTTTTGTTTGTGCTTATTATTTGCAAGCGTTGACTTGGCCGTCTACTTTTCATTGACTGTCGACTTTTTAATCACCTGAGACCTCCGTGTGGAATAAGTAACCCCACACTTGTCAGAAACCCCTTTCCAGATGGTGATATCACTGGAGAGCCGCAGAAAAAGGCTGTGCCAAAGGAAGGCAATAAACAAAAACTCAAGGTCAATTTGTGTAGAGGGCAAATGAACCTGGCATTTCTGTTTGCATTTAAAAGAGCCTGTGTATTTGCAAACATGCCTTTCAGGGAAGTTCAACTTCTATCTGTTCCTGGAGATTTCAGGTAGCATGGAGACATGAGATGTGCCCTCTTAATTTTTTTCCAAGTCCACCTTATTATTTTACTCCAAATTACTTGGCACTTCAAACAGGTCTACATGTTTCCATATGCTTATAGGTGCACACAAAGGTTTAGAGAACAAAAACCTCAATCCCCGAGGGTCATTCTGTCCCGTCCCTTCACTGAAGGGAATGGGAATGGTGAGGGAAAAACATAATAGTTGCCTGAGTGCCCATCAGGAAATAGTTAAAAGACAAACTGCTAAGGAGGAAAAATCCATTTGAAATCTACAAAACCTGCCACAGCCCCACTGAAACACTAGGCTTACTTTAAGGTGAGGAATCGTAGGCTGAGGGTGGCTGCCAGCCACGGGCAGTCATTCAGTTCTTCACACACTCTCTGTGGTTGTAAATCCACAGAGCTGTGAGAGGGAGGGCTACTTACTGAAATAAAAGCCCCTGTCTCCACACACGAACTGAAGAGCGTACACCAGCTCAGACCCACAGAGTGTCTCCGGTCCAGCTGTGACGGAGCTGGTGAAGGTGAGCAAGCACAGGGCCAGGTAGAAGAGATGGGAGGATGACATGATGTGCACCTTTACCTGCCGAGGAAACAGAAGGAAGGTCATGTTTCCTCCTGGGTCCTTGCAAGAGGATTGGGGGTCGGCCACAGGTGCACTGACCCCCTCCCCCCCCCACACACACACATTCCATCACTATCATGAATCAGAACCACCCTGCACAGAAGGGCAACAGCGTGCACGAGAGACTGCAGGGTGGCCTGAGCTGAGCACATCTGGACACCAAATGACCTGTGTGTAATCCCCTTGCTACTAGGAAACCTTGGCGAAGTCCTCCAAGGACCCCTTCTTTATGGGTTCCTAAACCTTTTGAATTATCAAAAGTTAAATTGTGCTCAGTCCAGATTTGGTGCTATTCAAATATGTTTTATTAATTTACATTCTTTAAAGACGGGCCATCCACAGATAGCATATGCATTCATTATTGACCAGAATATTAAATTAACCAGAACATCCTTCCCTAGCTACTGATTAAAAAGAACTTACTGTGGCTTATAAAAATACTATATATCATTATAGAGTTTTTCTTTTTTTCACTTAAGAGAGAGAGAGAGAGAGAGAGAGAGAGAGAGAGAGAGATTGATTTCTTACCTGGGGGATATCTTAACTACAGAAGTTAACACAACCACAAGTGGGAATATAAAAAACAGAAACAAGAAAAAATGTGAGGATTTAGGAATGAAATTAGCTCTTGCTAAGTAGACCCTACTCTTTCTGCATTCTAAAGCCCTTTGTGTCAAGCTCAATATCACATCAACACATGTAGAGAATGTGTAGAGAATGCTTTCCATGAACAGGGCACCAAGCTCAAAACCTACAAAAGCTTTTTTTTTTTTTAAGTCCCAGGAATTCTGACTTCACCTCTTGGAGGGACTTACATGACACTAGATAAATTTTATAGCAAAATATACTGAGGGACCCCTGGTTGGCTTCACTTCGCAGTGACAGACAGCCAAGTGGCAGCCCTGCCAGAGGCAGAATTCCTGTGGCTCACAGCTCCATCCTCACTCTCAGTAGAAGAAACAAGGCTAAGGTGATCATTAAGTGTTTCCATATTACTACTTGTGGCACAAAGCTCTGGTTTCTTCCAGGAAGGCTCCCAAAGCGAGCAGCTTCCCCGTTCTTAGATGCATCTACTTTCAACAGCACTGGAAGAGTCATCAGAATAGGTTAAGTGAAGGACCCTATTAAAGGTCATGGCGTTAGACTGGAAGCTATTAGGATAAAAAGAGCCTCTTTGGAACCTCCTAGTAGTGGCAGGTCCATTCAACCCTATCACTTTTGGAGCAACAGACTCAAGTCATTGATTTTGTGCCATGCTCCTTGCTCTCCATGCACTCTCCATTCAATGCTTCCACATCAGTAGCAAAGTGTGCCCCATCCTTTTAATTAAGATTTCCATGTTGGTAGCCAGACCTTCAGCTCAGAAATTGGGGGTGGGGAGAACCTTGGACTCTTGTTAAACAGTTGACTATAAAAAACACCTTCTATTTGCAAATCATCATAAGTAATGGGCATAAAATAGAAAAGGAGGTAAAAGCACAATTCAGCATTTCTTCCATTTTCTCAATAGGACTCTACTGGAGTCTTATGGAAACCCTCCACACACATGAAGCCCAAACCACTGAGACTGCTAGAAACAAATCATCAACCAATCCTCATTTTCCTTAGTTATAAAATAATTAGTGGGGCTTTTCCCCTTCAATATTTCCAGTGGAAACCTCAACAAAACCAACTCAACTGTACTTCATTGCCCTTTCAAAAAAGTTACTTGTAATTGATCTTACAGAATATACCCACACTCTGGCAATGGGTCAGTTCTAGGATGTATCCTTATGCTATCAACCTTATTTCTCCATAGTAATGCTCAAAGCCAAGCACTTGCAATTATAGATGCCTTTGAGTTCTTCAGTTGTCATGTAATTCAGGGGAAAAGGTACTCAGCTTACAGCCTTAGTGAACTGATAACATCAGTAGATGTCAAAACTATATTTTAAATAGTTATTTCTGGTATAACACATTTAAGCCCAGCAATACATATAAATCTCTAGCATTTAAGAATTTAAGATTTTTTTTACAGCTTTTTCTCTTTTGCTTAATTATATTGTCAGATAAATGTCAGCACTTACAGTTCTAGGATAAGATAGAACCTTAATGCATGTTCTTTTAGTTCACAAAAACAGTTCAGCACACCCACGAAGAACCAAAGAATTTATCACATTATGTGCCCCCAAACAGAAAACAATAATGAACTTGTTTAGGAATTAAAAGTTTGAAACAAGTGGCCCCATATGTTCATCATTCCCTTGGCCTTTTGTTTTGCCAAACACAAAAGAAATGGAGAGAAAGGAAAAATATGATAGAAAGAAAGGAAGAACCAGAAAGAGAAGAGAAAAAAGAGGAAGAAAAAATAACAGAACACTCTCTCTCAAAAATCCCCCACAAATCCAAAATTTAAAAGACTTTTCTTTTTATCTTAAATCAATGGAATATCAATTAATTCCAGATGTCTGGGCTACAATGAAAATGCCTAGCAGAATTTGAGGGCAATAGTCATAAGAAAATACTCACTGTAGGTGTAACCATTTTTGTTTGTTCCAGATCTTTTACAGCAGGTCAGGTTGAGTATTATGAGGCTGATGTGAATAGAAAACTGAGGACTTAAAAACATGTGCTGCTTTGTGGGTGGGGTTTGTGAAAGCATCTAGTTACATTTGGACACCCAAGCAGGTATGCTATGAGTCTGGGTAAACTGCCTTTTGTCCATTCAAACAATGAACAAATTATACAGCTTGGATTTGAGTCAATCTTTTCCCTTCAATCAAGATACCAATTTCCATTGTACCCCAGACAGTGACCCAGGCTCCAGCCCTCTCCCTTACTATCTCCCCTCTGACTCAAACACTTGGAAAATGTCTTGAGACTCAGAGTACAATCCATCACCTTGTGAGTTCTGCCTCCAGATAGGACATCTTTACTCCATGAATGACATCTGAAAGACCACTCACCTCCCTCAAACCACTTCCTGCCCCAAATGGAGGAAAAAGGAACAACTTATTGCTAGCTCTGCTTTTGAAAAGTTCAGCATACACAGCATAGAAAGTTCATTTGGAGACAGTTTTCCAAACTTGTAATTAAGGCAGACATAACACTCAATGGCTTCTTGTAGGGAGACAAATCCCCCACCTGTCAGACCACATAGCATATATGTATGTTGACTTGATTTCTTTTAAAAGCAAAGTAGCCAGCCTGTGTCTTGGCATCTCAAGGGCAGCAGAATCAGGTGCCCAGACAAGGATGGATCCTTAACTCCTAAGCCACTTACTCAGAAAAGTCCCGGCAGTGGAGTATTTGGAAGCAGCAAATGAATGCAGTACCAGGAGCAGGGACATTTTATGAATTGAGACCTCAGGCAATTTCATCGGGAACCAGTGACAGCAGCTTAAAAGTGCTTGCAAATTGGAAAAACACATGCCTTGAAGGATATAATTTTGCTGAGAATGGAAATTTGAACTGGGGCCAGTGATTGGAAATGAGAAGTCGCGGCACGGACAGTGGCACCCAAATTGACCTAAAGAGACTTTGCAGCACCGAGTGTAAAGTCAGAGTTTTACAACACAACCCCCCAAGCCCAAACTTCAACTGAGAAAGTCCTCTTTAAACCACAAAACTTGGACAAACAGTTACTAGAAAGTTTCTGCTTCCCATATACAGTATGCATTTGTTTAAATTATATGAATATGCAAGTTCAGCAAGAGTTGTCAAGTTCTTTTTCAAGAGCAAATTAAACTCCTCTCTAACTTGGACTTTCTGGGCAGAAGTGCAGAGAGTTCCGGGACCTTAGCTCCAAAGATCATATTTAAAAGATTTAATATCATCTAAAATGTAATTCTCTGCATGTGGCATGCCTTATAATAAAAGTCCTGACAAGTTACACACACACACACACACACACACACACACACACACACACTTTCATACATACGTAAGAACAATTTCTTAAAATTAAACATCTGCACCTGCAAAAAAAAAAATTCCCAAGTTCATATCCACTCTCGATAGCCCTTAACCATAGACAGGATTTAAAGGACTCTTTTCTAAAGACACCACTGAACCCCGGCGAAGTGGAGGATTTAGCATAAGTACCTTGCAATCGTTTCTACTCATACATATCTCTGTGTAAAGGCATCTATCTCCCGGAGCTGTCTTTTCAAATCCCACAGTATTGCACATTCAGCAATTTATAAATAACTCCTAGTTCCGAAGCAATGAAAATTCTAAAGTGAATAACATTTCTAGGAAGAAGCAGGCAGTACACAAATAAAAGCAAATCCCCCAATGATTTCAAAGAGTAAGAAATATTTACCTTCAAGGAATCACAAAAGCAGCACTTAAATAATTGGGTTGGAAGACTGCTGACTTTTCCCATTGCTTGTGAAGTGCAAAGTCTGGAAATGAATTGGTTAGCAGGAATAATGAGGCAAGAAGAAATCCAGAGAGATGGGAGATGTTGAGAGCAATGTCACATTTCAATTTTGAGGACTTTATTCCATTGCGCAGGCTCTATCTGCTCTGAATTTAGCAGTGACAGTGAGGTTTAGCAAACAGAAGAGGGATTTAGAGAAAATCCTCACATTTATCTACAAAACACAGACACTGTAGACAGGAAACAGCTGGGGGAACATTTGCCTTCTCTCTCTCTCCCTCTTCTGGCAAAGTTATCGAGTAAGGACTTTTTTGGGCATGGTGACAAATAACATCATACCTTTGCATTTTAAAACTAGAGCACAGAAGCATTTTTTTTCTCTTAAAAGAAGGTGTGTTAGTGACAGGGTGAGCAGATATTAAAAATATTGATGCTACTATAGGAGATGAGGATCTGTTCTCTGATTAACTTTCTCCTGGGCATGATGACACACATCTGTTAATACACCTTATCAGTATTAAAGGGGGGTATGTGGTGGGTGGGCAAGCAATTTTACATTCTAGCAAACGCAAAATAAAAGAGTGAAGCAAAGACACCCCAAGCAAACCTACGATTTTAACCCTGAAATGACTAAGGTAAACTCAGTTGGAAGACAGCACTGGGGTGACCCCTTGTCCTACTTGCCAAGCCAGAAAAATGATCTCATTTCCCAGAACCTAGAAAAGGGGCAGGCAGCGTCGCAATTGGCTCCCTTTAGGAAGACACCGGCTCATGCTTTTTGCCCGCGACAGGGCAAAGACTTTGCTGAGCTGTAAAGCCAACTGAAAAAATAAAATCTTTTACCAGGGGAAAGGAAAAGCTATTTTCCCATTGTTCATATTTTTCTGCATAACTCTCTCTCTCTCTCTCTTTTCTTTCTCCAGTGTTTGTGTGTTCTAAATAACACCAGCTGGCTAGCAATGCCCTCTCAAGGGTTATGATGTCATTCAAATCCCTCCACTGGATAAGTGGCTGGCAACATGGCCCAAGCCAGCTGTTTTGCTATTTATAATGAACCCTTGCCTTTGCCATTGAGAATCAAGTTCTGATTGCTCGTCAATATAGTTTGTACCGATTTCTCTTTGGTTTTGTGAGGTTGTAGATAAGAAAGTAGATTATGAAACAAGGTTGCGAAAGTCCAGATAAGACATACCAGTTTCCCTGCATGTCTAGCCAGGCATGGCTGCCCAGGGACGGTGGAAATAACCTGGACCCTGCAGTCCCCTCTCATGACTGTCAGGGACCACGATGATACTGATGCGCCCACTGAAAACAGAGGTATGCTGGAAGCCGTAGTCTGGAACTTTATGTTGTCCTGTGGATAGAAAGTTGATTGCAAGCGTCAGTGCCTTCAACGGAAAAATTGGCTGGTTTCAGAAGGGGGTTCAGTTTGATCATTCTTCTGTGTAGTTAAAAATTCGCAGCAAGGTTCACCTTCCAGGAAGAAAATTTAGAAATTATTAGAATTTAATGCTGTCTGAATGGTGCGCAAAGCCAGCCTCATATAGTGAGTGCCTACTATGTGCCCAACTACATGCACCATGGTCATGGAACCATAGGGCTCTCAGCTGAGTGGCAGAGACAAAGAGGAAATCATCACTGTCATGTGGTAGGTATCTTCTCTTTTAAAAATATGAACAGTGCACATGGTTGGGGAGGAACAGATTCTCTGGAAAGACAGGGAAGTGAAACCCAGTTGAAAATCCAGAATGGGGAGAAGGATGGATCATGAGAGGCTTTGGGTACAAGGTTGGGAAGATTTAGTGGATACGATTTGACCTGAAGAGAATACAAATAAGCATCATCAAGAGATGGCCAGGTGTGTGGGCAATTCTTGTACTTTAAGAAAAATTCAAGGCTTCCTTTAATGATATCCTCTTCATGCATTTAATTTATGACTTGATGTACCTAAGGTCTCTTTTTTCCTTCAGCTTTTGCAGATCACCCTCTTTGGGAAAAACAAAGCCTGTCCTCCTCTCATAGACTCTGATGATGAAATCGTATAACCAAAGAGCTGCACCTATCTTCCAGGTAGAAAGAACTGCCATTCCACCTGCACAGTGTCAGGTACTGGCTGGAGTCTTGTCTCTGAGCGCCTTGCTCCATCACCAGGTGCAGGCCAGGACTTTCCCATTGCACCTTTAGCATATTTTAATTGCCCCAGGATGCCCTAGGGGCTCACTGCATCTTTCCAAAGCTGGAACCCTGTCTGGTATACCCTCTGGTGTGCCCTGGACAACCATGGCCTGTGAAAGGCTGCTTCAGGAGACAGGACACATACCATTCCATCAGACTCTGCGCTCCTGTGATATCGACATACTGACTCACAGTATCTTGGTTTCATAACCCCAATTACCCTTAAAGGATAATTGAGTTTTAATTTATGTCCCAGTTTTTGTGTCACAAAGAAAACTGAAATTTCAGTGAGTCGTAATTATCATCAGCTGTGCTGTGGAAACACTCCAATGTGAGCTCCCAGTTTCCAATAGGGAAAGCAATTTCCTGAAGTGATTATTGCATATTTCAATGTGGGGAATGGTCTATATGTCTGGGTAGGATGAGCCAACCTAAGAACAGGGCAGTAATTTCCTAGAGAAATGGCCATATTCTCTGCTAATTCCAGAGTCAACATGAAAATGAAAGGGCAATAAATATGCCACATGATTACTTTTTAAGGTCTGAGCAAATGAATGCACCTATTACTAGAGAGTTTGAGGTGGTAGTAAATCTAATCTCCAGGACAAGTTCAGGTCATGGAGTCTTACTGGAGAGAACATATGGGCTCATTCTAAAATGACTGAAGGACTGTGTAGTCTCCTGCCTGGGACAACCTGGCAGCTATGGGAATTGTGTGCCAACAAAATAGCTAACTGCACAGATGTGCTCATCATGAGAACATACACTCCTGAAAATTCAGATTCAGAGTTTCACCTTTTGGGTGTATAATGCCTAGTGGGTATACATGCTCTACCCTAAAGCCTACTTCTTGAGTAGCATATTTGCAGTAAGCTGCTGCCTCAGAAGATTTCTGATACCTTCCTTTAAAAATATAAAGTTGTTCATCCCCTTAAAGCACAGGCTGAGTGAAAGTCACAGAAAAGGGGTGAGCAAGGCCCAGTCCCCACTCTTACTGCTCGAGCCATGTGGCCAGCCTTCCCCATGCCAACTGCAGAGGAGCTGATCTAAAAGGTAATTTCATATCCATGTGCAATAGGGCATATTTACAATTTATTTTATTAAATGTTTTTGCTGACTCCCAAGAAAAGCTCAGAATAGATATTTGGAGGTAGGAGGACTTTGGAACCAAATAAAGGGTGAGGTCTAAGGTTCTAGGGCCACCCACCAGGCAAAGAACTTGGGGAAACTATTGGACGTGTGTCCTGGATCATGGTTTGTGGGGGAGGGTTGGTCTGGGAGTGTATTCTCCAAAGTCTGAGATCAAGAGCTTGTCAATTCAGAATGTAAAACTCAGAGGAAAAGGCCGGATCTCAAAAATATGACATGCTGCCGAACAAGGGGACTAATGTCAGCTCCAAAGATCTGCTCAGAAGGGGCTCTGTTATTGCTCAGAAAGATCTTATGTAGCGCAAAGGAGTTGCTTAAAACCCTTACAGGAGCATTATCCCCACAGCTAGGGAAAACCGTAACAGGGAGAAGCATTCCTCTCACTAAAGAAATCAGTGTGTTCTTTTCAACATCAAACTTGGATCTTATTTCTTCTAAAATATCAAAAGGGCAAATGCTGAAAGCAGTCAGAAGCAAAACTGCTGTGGTTTGGGGGCAGCAAAGGAATTAATTCTTCGGAAAGGCAGACAAGGAGTCACTGCATGGGGTGAGGATGGCTTGGTGGAGTGAGAGAATCAGAGGATTCACCACAATTGTCCCAAGTTGAATAGAAAATGAGGAAAGGACACTTCACCTCCGAACTTTAAGGGCTGTACCCACCAAGCGCTTTCTTTTGGAATAATAAAAAAATAAAAAAATAAAAAAATAAATGTGTACGCCCTCTAGTGGGCTGAGAGGAAACTGCCACCGTAATCTTAACCATTGACATCGCCTTTTGGAGAGAGTGGGCGTTTTGAAAAGCTCTGGATTAAAATATATTTTAAATTGCACTGATCTTTAGTTTTATGAATCCTTTTAAAATAAAATAATCTATGTTTTAAAGGGGGGGAAAGTGCTAAGGGGAGAAAGAAAGATCATCAACTTCGTGAGGACACAGATGTGCTATTCACAGCAGGATACCCCACGTTTAACTCCTGGTATGGGCTCAAAATACTGTGTTGATTGAACGAGAGTCTGGAAAATTGATGATGATAAAGGTAAAATGTTTAACATAAAGAAGAAACTCTCTGAGTGTGAAACGACCAATTCCTAAAAAGGAACAAAGAAAAATAAGAAAAGTGAGGGAGTGGGCAGCAAGGGTAGACAGAAAAGGGACTTATTTAAAATGAAACAAATGTAGGTGCTCACGTATGGATCCTAAATCCAGTCTCCCTGTCTGTTCATCTGTTCAGCATGTTCTACCACATCAGTATTCAACATGTGCGCTAAAACTTTAATAGTCAAAGACACGCCATCTAAGAACCACATATGTGTGGAAGTGGTTCCATTTTTAAAGATCTTTCTATCCTGAATTTACCAAGAAGAAATTCTCAGTTTGGTAGTAGCCTAGGTTCCGTGCCTAACACTTGCTTATCTTCCTTTTTGAACAATAGCAAACCGATTAGCCAACCAAACAAACAAAGACACCTTAAGCCCAAAGGCTTAACAGGCAGTAGTTTTATGCAGAATTTAACAGTACTGTTTTTTGTTTTAAGAATTCATTTTACTTAGGGCAAGTGATGCTGTTTTGAAATAAACACTTTACAGTTTTGAAAATATATGTATCCAATTCTTAAAAATTTAAGAAAAATACTTTAAAGTAAATAAATAATATTACAAGTGGCAGACAGTTACGATGAACTGTGTACAATTGGTGTTTGAATGTCTGGTGTTTGGAATTACTGCAGCATAACATGTCATGCATTAGGGGACAAAATACCACAATGAGAAATCAGGGAACAAAGACCCTGGACATAAAAAAATGCCACCACATAAACAAATTAATTGTATTTCTTGATAATTCAGAGACCCTGTAGGCTCACACATTTTTCATACCAACCTTTCAGAGTTGGGAGATGTTGAAAAAGGCTTGGTAGAGTGAATAACATTTGAGTTAAGTATAGAGGTATCAGCTTACTTCCAAGATAGA